TTGTCGGCCCTCCTCGAAACCGGGATCCAAATCCGTGCGGATGATTCTCTCATCGAGCTTGGTGCCTCCAATATACTTCAAGCAGTCCAAAGCATCCTGGTGCGTGTAGTATTCAACGAAACAGAATCCGCAAGGGGTCTTGGTGAACCGATCGAGCCCCATGACAAGACGTTTGATTTCTCCGCACCTAAAACTTGGTCAATGTCTGGTACGTGGTCGGCTGGGAGAGTGCGAAGCTGACTTTGCGAAAAGCTCATGGATCTGTTCTTCAGTGGTGTAGAAGGAACTGTGGCAGTCAGCACTAATTAATGGCGGGTCTGTGGAGGCGTAGTCCGGCTTTGAAGCACGTACAGGTTGCCGACATAAAGGGTCGTGGCATTCTTCAGATTGTCGGTGGGTTCTTCCTGCTTCTCGGGTTCGTCGTGACTGTACTTGCGTCTCTTGTTCTATACAAGTTGCGAAGGGGTTAATGATCGTGTCGTGTCCATTGCCTTGAACTGTTAATGGTTAGGGTGAAGCTATACCTTTCCCACATAGTAGGCACTGGGACGGTCCAGTCTCTCCACGGTGTGGTGCGATAACGTGCTCATTGTGTCGGAATGCGCCCACTGGAATACCCAAGAGAGTCCTGGTTGCAGTAAGAGAGAGTGTGAGAGTGTGAGATAAAATAGCACGTGGATGAGGGAAAAGGAAGACGGAGAAGGGGAAGTTTGGGGACGAGAAGCCGAGCTTCAACTGATGGAATGGGAAACTCTTGGCGCGCGTCTGCGGTGGATTTTTGCCCGGCCGCTGCTGGAGCTCAGTTAAACTTACCTTTGTTGCTGCTCCTCCCGCCCTACGCTATTGTCCCGCAACTTGGAATCTTCCCCTTCCCCATCTTCTTGTCACTTTCTCTCTCTCTTCTCTCACGATCACTTCTCCTGGCGGCATGGGTCTATAATTTACATCTTAATTGTGTGATCGAAACATCTTCAGACCATGCCCAAAGTCATCAGCTACACTCCGCCCTGGCTCTCGCGCCCTTCGCCAGGTGCTTCGATTTTCTCAAGCGCAGGGACCAAACACCCCGAAAACCTTCAACCACCTCAAGATCAGCAGTATGCGGGGCCCAAGCGCATTCAGGCCAAAAGAGGGAATGAACTTTTCACCGTGGTGAACAACCAGATCCGCTGGTCCGATCTCACTAGGGTCAAGGACGAATGGCAGCATCAAAGACGCCTAAAGAATGGAAGTTCGGAAACACGACCTGAGCATGAGAAGAGTGTGCATTACAAGGTAATACGGCTCGACGAGTGCAAAGTGGGCGATAGCTGATAGCGCCCAGGTCTTGTTAACCCCAGTTCACGAAAATATCCGTCAACTTGTTCCGTCTCCCAACGGCGCTTTCTTAGCTATCGTAGCCGACCACACCGTGTTCATCGCTGTCCTTCCAGACCCGTCGCATTTGGCTGGCACCGACACCCTTCCAATCCGCGTCAAGACCTACCAGCTCGGACCGACCACACATGTTATCCCCGAGTCTCCTGTTGTTTCCGCACTATGGCATCCATTGGGGGTTCACAGCAACCTGGCGGGCTGTCTGGTAACAGTCACCGCAGATGCTGCCGTCCGGGTGTGGGAGATCGACCGCAACAATCATTGGTCTTTTGATCGACCGACGCTGGCGGTGGACCTGCGGAAGTTGATTGATGGAACGTCATGCGACGAGGATTTCGCGCCCTCGGGATTCGGAAGAAACAAGGGTTTCTCGGCGGACTACATCGATATGGAAGTAGCCTCTGCTGCCTTTGGTGGCACCGGCGTTGCCAAGGAAGATGCCTGGGCTCCCATGACCCTTTGGATTGCGATGCGGCCGGGCGATCTGTACGCTTTGTGTCCTTTGCTCCCCACCAAGTGGAGAACGCCTTTGACGACCGTCCCGGCACTCACTACAGCTATTCTTCCAAAGCTCGCGAGCTTGCAAGAGGATCCTGCGGAGTTTGAAGACGAACTTGCGGCTTGCCGTCAACAGTATGACTGGCTCACCGAGATTGACACCCAGGAGCCGCTGCTCACTGATGTTGAGTCCGACTACGAAGTCCGTACACGCCCTGCAACCCCCAGCGCTATCCCGAGACTGCAGGGTCCCTTCCGTCTGGACACCGGTGATGAGATTGACGACCTTGATTTATGCGATATCCTTGTAGTCGCTGCCAGGGCTGACATCGACGCTCTCATGACGGGTGAGGAGATTGACCTAGCGCTGGAAGACGACGGGGAGGACAAATTGTCGGCTACCGTGATTTGCTTGTCGAGTGGAAGTGGCAGGATCTATATCTGCCTGGAGCTTGATGGCGTTGAAGGGCAGTGGCTCCCCAAGAGCCGGCAAAATGTTTTCCGCACGCCAGTATCCGATCCATGCGACCTACTCTTGGTGGAATCGTTGGATACCGTGAAGGCACAGGCGGGCCACTGGCCGACATTCACCAAGGATGTCTATTCCCGCTACAACTTCTTTGTCACTACGGCGACCAATGTTACTTTCTTTTCCCTTGGTTCCTGGGTGCAGAGATTGGAAGCCGAACTGCAGTCGGAAGACACCAGTGGAAGTGCGTTCCGCCTGCAAGTTCTGTGTGAAGGCACAGCGTCTCTGCGAGAGCAGCTCATTGAAGTGGATGATAACGTTGGGGAGGACAAGGACCATGTTGCCCACCTGCCAGCCTCTTTGGTCTACTACGACTACGACCTGGGTTACCTACTTCTAACGTCCCGCGGCTCTGTTCCTTATGCCGCGATCCTGGACGCGCCGGAGGTCTCCTTACCTTCGATTGGCGAGTTGCAGATCTTCGACTCGCAAGAAGGACCTCGATCGCCTATACTCCCGCCTTGTCGCCCTCCCTACCAAGTGCCACCCATCTTCTATTCGGAATCACCCCTGGGTTCATTTGTGGAGAAACATGTTCCGCATCGCCAGCGCCAAGCCCTCAAGGAGCAAGTTCGCTTGTCGCCCGCGACCCTTGATCTAGTTGCTGCCGCCCATCGGATTCTGTCCGCGCACACGAACGCGCTAGAGAGAGCTGCTTCGGATCTGTTCCGCCGATGTGAACGTCTGCAGGGGGAGATGCGTGACCAACTGAAGCAATTGGCTGATGTTGCGGATAGGGTGCGGGGTGTTTCCAGTGAGCTTGGTGAGGACGGCAAGCGGATTGAAGGATCGCGGACCGGAGAGGCCCTTGATAAGAGACTTCAGGCCGCGAAGGACAGACAGACCGAGCTTGTGCAGAGATACGAGGCTCTTCGGAGTAAGCTCATGAAATCTGGCGGCAGACCTTTGAGCGACAAAGAGAAGGCATGGTTCCAGGAGGTGAAGAGACTCAGTGATTCATTCGGCGAAGCGACGGAGGACTCGCAACCGGGCCAGGAAAGTCGTCAAGCCATCGCTCAACGCCTCGAAACGGTAAGTGCTTCCTCCAAATATCGAATCTACCCCGAGCTAATTAAATCCTTTTGCAGGCCAAGGAACTTGCACGCGATATGCTTGCCGAAGCGAAGTCAGTTGCTGCTAGGCTTCCAGCTGTCGACGCCAGCAGCCCGGCTTCAGCGCAACCGACGATCCCATACCGACTTCAACGGACGAAGGTTGGGGAAGCGATGAGAATGGTGGAACGAGAGTGAGTTTCCAATTTAGGGTATCAAGACACGACATACTGATACAGTTACAGATCTGCGATCATCGACTCGATCACATCCCGGTTGGAACGACTCAACACCACTATCTGATTGCGGTTGCTTAGATGAAAACTTGGAGACTTAATCGTTGCTCTATACCTACTTCTTGATACTCGAGGATTTTCGAATTCACAAAAAGACATTCAATTTGTTTATTATATTATGAAACGGGGGCATTTCGCACCCCGCACAAATGTAGCAGAACCCAGACCTACCCTGACCCAAAGTTGCCGAGCTGAGTGCGTCGACTTCACCTACACTGGCACAAGACGTGCTGCTCCGACCTCAACGGCCCGAGCAACGAACATCCCACCCTGTTATTATTACCTCTAGTCAACATTGACATCCTCAAACCCATCCGCCGAAGGTGGCGGAGGCGGAGGAGGCGGCGGCGGCGGCGGCGGCGGGCCATTCCCACTGCCGCCATGCGGCCCACCTCGCCGCCGACAACCCCTCGACTTCACCCAGTCCGCATAGTCATACATGATCAGCCGGTTCCGCTCCCACACCCCGGAGGCGTAGGGCATGGTGCCCGGCCCCGTCCTGTTCAGGTTCTCGTACCCGTCCCCGTCGGCATCGCCATCGCTATCGGCGTCGGACTCCGACACCGCCCCGTCCGAGTAGACCTCCACCGGCTCCTCCTCGAGTCGCGCGCACTTGGCGCACGGCTCGTCGATGCTGCCGGTGTGTTCTACGACTACCCCGGGACATTTTTCGGTGGTTTCGGCGTTAGTGGCTTCGGTGCACCGGTGCATGGTCTCGTCGAGGACGCAGCCGCATCTGTAGGTGCGGATTGTGGAGGTGCACATTTTGCCTCTTTTGGGTAGGGGGATTGGGGGGGGCTCTTGTTGGGTCTGTGTGTTTGGTGGTTAGTGGGGAGAAGGGGGGTGAGGGTGAGGGGAGGTGTGGTGTGACTATTGGGTGAATGGGTAAGTGGGTGAGTTGAGGTTCTGTTGGTGTGTTGTGGTGGTTGGGGTGAGGTTGGTTTTATATTGTTTATGACGGGATGAGGGTTTGGGTGGTAGGGGGGAAAGACAATGGGTTTTGTTTTGGGGTCTTTGTCACGGGTTGGAGGTTCCATTGCCATTTTGAGGGGAGCTTGTAGGGTGGTGTCCTTTATTCGGAGGGTTGTGAATGGGTTGGGGTTTGGGGTTGGTGATAGGGGTGAGACTATGAGGTTGTCGAGAATCTCCGGTTGTTTTTGGACAGGTAGTTAGGGTTGGTGGTTCACGTGAGGAGTTTTTGGGGTCGGGGGTGGGGGGGTTGGAGATAGAGGTGGTGATTTGAACTAGATATGTACATGTAGGTAGGAGAGGATGTTAGTATTAAGTAGTATTATGGGAGTTTAGAGTATTTGGTTATTGTTTGAGGTTGAAGTTGGTGGATGGTGGATGGTGTTGGGTTGGGTTGTGTCCGGCCATTGTATGTTCCCGTGCTCTTTCCATGCTCTTTCTTTCCCCTGATGAACTCGACCACTATTACTTCTTTCTGTTCGATCTTCTTAGATAACCTTGAACATCCCAGTCAGTTCGGATACCTCTTCTCACTTCTCACCTCTTTCCCTCCCCTTGTTCCCAATGATCTCAGCCCACCAGCCTTGAACCCCCTTAACGCCCACAATTCAAATCATACCCCCCAAGCCCCCCCTCCTCCCAAACCACCTCCTCCTCCTCCCCCTCCTCCACCGCCCCCCTCACGGCCTCATACACCTCCCCAACAACGACCTCAAACGCCGGCATCCGCAGCAACGGAATCCGCCTCTCCCACCGCATCATGTCCCGCAGAAACACCGTCCCCCACCACCACTCCAGCTGCCGGCAGTCGAGCTCCCGCATCTCGCGCGCCTTCTCAGCGTCCTTGTCCCCGTTCCTGCCAGCTTCCCCCTGCCCAGCTTCCCCCGCTTCATTACTACCTGTACCGCCACCGCTCCTGAGAAGCACAATCGACCGCTCCACCGCCGCCACCGCCTCCCGATACCGCCGATAGTACGTCGTCAGGTACATGTCCAGCTGCGCCGTGTACCGCGCCGCGTACGCTGCGAACGCTGCCCGGTCGACGTGGAACCGCACCGCGGACCGCGGGATCTTGGCCGACGGCGCCAGCGTCGGGCTGCCTGGGATGTAGTCGCGGCGCCAGTTGAAGAGGCGGTCGATGGATTGGGTGTGCGTTATTAGGGTGGCGGGGTTGGGTTTGGGTGGGGGTGCTGTTGCTGTTGCTGTTGCTGCTGCTGTAGCTGTATCTGGTGATGGGGCTGGTTCGGCTGCTGGTGTTGTGGGGTTGATGGATGGATCGGTGCTGGAGCTGGGAAAGGCACCAGGGCACAGGGCTTTGTAGCGAGCGGCGAAGCAGGTTTCCACGTGGCGTTGGACGCATAGGCTGTTGTAGGCGAGTAGGTAGCAGTGGTCGATGAGTTTGCGGGTGGTCGGCGGCAGGATGGTCAACACCCAGGGCGGGGGCTGCAGGGCCCGGTGGTCCCAGTTTATGCAGCCGGGCGGTGGGTTCAGCGTGCGGGTGGAGAGGTAGGACATTTTTCTCTGGTGGTTGTGTTGTTTGCTTCTGGGGGTGATGTTTGGGGTGATGTTGACGGTTGGTTGGTTTCTGGATGAGGTGAGTGAGGTGGGTTGAAATGGTTGTTGGGTGGAGATGGTTTATGGTGAGGGTGAGGACAGATGGAGGAGGATGGAGACAGAGAGGTGGAGAGGAAGAGAGAGATCAGTCTCTGGAAATGTGTTCAGCTTCATGGCCCATTCGGTTCGAGTGAGTTATTCACAAATGTGGTGTGTTACTGGAAGTTATGGGAGAGCAGGAATCCTTGCCACAGGCAGCACAAGCCCTATCTTTCTCAGACCGTACTTCCTCCATGGCATCTATTAACGTCACCCGGACATTGTGTTACTGACTAGAATCAATACTAAATGCAATCGTCACTATGAATCTGAAGCGGCATCTGATGTTATAAGCAAGGTATGTTTTCATCCAACTATAAGAGCTAAACCCCAAGCCTTTACTGGACACTAGACACATCGTTAGTACACACCAACTACACTTCAACACACGAAGCATACCGTTCGATCAGATGAACGCCAGACGCGGTCTCAACAATACCGCTGACCTGTCCCGGCTGCAGCGCGAAGGCTGCGTCCTCGAACTCCTTCTGCATCTCCCCGCGTCCAAAGAATCCCCTAGAAACACATTAGCCCTGCGTCACACATCTCAAGAAAGTTCACATACAGATCACCCCGCTTGCGGGCGCTGCTGCAGTCCGACTCGGACATGGCGATGTCGCCCAAGGTAGCTTCGCCCGATTGGATGCGCTGCTCATGGCCGCGGAGGATCTCAATAGCCTCCTCTTTTGACCGAGTGATCTCGGCCTCCCGCCAGCTGCTGGGCCGTCGGCTATCCCGGTGCTTCACCAGAAGGTGGCTGCAACGGATCTTTCCCTCACCCTGGCCGATCCCGTTTCCTGCAGGCCCGCTGTGATAGTCGGCCATGTATAGCTTGAGCTTCTCGGTGTTCGTGTCGGCGGGGGGTTCCCATCGGGACTCCTTGGTGCTCGGGTTGAAGTAGTAAGGGAGGTTCTTGGAGTTGGAGTGGCGAACCTCCCACCCTGCTGGAAGACCGGTTTCTACCTGTAGTGGAAGATGGGGTGTTAGCAGTAAGCTTGGGAAACAATGACTGCAGAGGGTATAGATGGGTTGAGAGGAATGTGGACAGTGTGTGAATACCATTATGAATGTAGTGAACGTTTGTGTGTTGTGTCTCTAAGAGAAATTTATAGTTCTCTATGAGGTCTGATGTGCTGACAAAAAGAGGCTGAGAAGAAAAGCGGGGATAACTGAGATGTGTATAGACTTTGTTTCTTTCTGCAGGTCCGACTGCCTGCGGGACAAACTGCGGGGGAAGACAGACACCGAGAGGGACCCCCCAGCAAATAGTGCAAATAGTGCAAACAGCACAAACCGTGCCACCAACCTCCTCCACATGGCTGGCCACCTCACGCTGTTGTTGCTCCCGCTCCACCTCTTTCTTCTGACTTCCATCTCCCACTCATCTCTTATCTTCCGATACCTTAGCCCTCATCCAGTCTATTCAGCCACTGCTTCATTCTTTCACTCACAGCGTTTTACTTGCACTTCCGTTAAGACCACAAGAACGTCTCACTCCTTCTATCTTCCTCCAAACCACTACCGTCACTCACCGTCTTATCCATACGTCGAAAATGTCTGCAAGCCCAGCCTCCTCCGCTGGCGGCGAAACCAAGAGCGCCGACCAGATTCACTTTCGCTTCTGTCGCGAATGGTAGGCGCATCTCCTTCCATCTACCCCCACTTGACTCAATGCTGATGAGAATGTCTAGCTCCAACTTGCTGTACCCCAAGGAAGACCGCGTCAACAACCGCTTGATGTTCACATGCCGAACCTGCCATGTCGGCGAGCCCGCCACCTCCTACTGCGTCTACCAAAACAAACTCAACACCCAAGTCGGCGACACTGCTGGTGTCACCACAGATGTGGGATCCGATCCTACGGTTTGTCTCCCGGGTTTCTGTGATCACTGCGGGGAAGAGATTACCTGCTTTGTCTGCGAGTCATCGTCGGAGGAGTCATGGTCGGAAGAGGACTATGATGACTTCATGATGAACTGAGACCGGACTCGGTTCCCGTTCAAACGGCCACCTTCACATAACCTTGGGATTCTGTGGCTAACCCACACCTTTTTCTTGATATTAGCTTCCCCGGTCCAACAAGCTCTGCCCGAGCTGCGGTGAAGCCGAAGCAGTCTTCTTCCAGTCGCAACAGCGATCTGCGGAAACCGGAATGGTGAGGCCTTCTGCCTGCAATCTCCCCATCTCGAACATGCTGCTGACGTTTTGTTTGTCTTTTCTCTTCTCAGAAACTGTACTATGTGTGCTGCGCGTGCGGCAATGTCTTCATGTAATCTTGGAGTTTTGTGTCTATTTCTGACGACCTGATACCCGATGTTGGTCTCTTTTCTTGCTATTTGCTGTGGAGTTATGGCGATGCTTGGGGAACAAAAAAGCCGCGAAGATCTTAATAGAAAGAGATGCAAACCGTTTATTGGTACAAGCTATTCAAAGTGAAAAACAACAATTCGCTTTCGGGAGGTATAATTTATACATGCATGGGCGCCAATGACAAAATCTTCGACCACTGTCTTCCTCGTAATTCCGTAGCCACGACGCCTGTAGGGTGTATTAGTCTTGAGCCGTGTTATGTGACTGATGGGTCCGGACTGACCGTTCATTCTGGTTCCGATGGGCTCGCCAGCCTTGTTGATCAGGACACATGCGTTGTCATCGAAGCGGACGATCGAACCATCGGGGCGCTGCATTTCCTTTCTGGCGCGGACGACGACGGCGTGACGAATATCACCACGACGGACCTTGTTCGCGATACCGGAATTTCCTGTCGAGTCGGAGCCGAAGTTACGCTGCTTCTGAACGACCACGACGATGCGGTCGCCTAAGATCGGGGAGAATACTTTGTTAGCGATACCTTCAGGAAAGGTCGGAGGTCGTAGAGACATACCAACAGTGGCGGGGCGCTTCTTCTTCAAGACCTGGACACACTCGACCACGGCGGCGCCCGAGTTGTCGATGCAGTTCAGCATCGTCTGCTCACCCGCGTCAGCAACCCGATCTCGGGGTCAGAATTGCCCAGAGATTTTTGTTTAAATACCTTAAGTTGAATCATTGTGACTGTAATGCCCTGAACTGGGGGGGGGGGAACAGTAGTTCGATGGGGGTGGTCAATCGGGTTTGGGCTGGACTGCCCGAAAGATTTCCCAGCCACAGCAGCAGCAAAGTCCCGGGCCGGCAGGTTTCGCCGATGACCGACCCCGGACTAGATTCACTAACTTAACATTAGTTAACTTACTGTACTGTAACTTACTGTGCCTGCACCACAGGCGCTTTGAAAGAAGGCGGCGGCGGCGGCGGCTGAATGTTGACTGAAAGACTGACTAGACTAGACTAGACTAGACTAGTCACTTCAAGGTTAGCCATAGTCTTACTAGGTAGTCATACATACTAAGTAAGTAAATTATGGACATCCGCTCATCGCATGGGCAACCAGCGCGGCATAATCTGTGTGTTCCTCCCAATTCACTCCCTCACTCACTTTAGTAACTACTAACTCACTCACCATCACACATCTTTCCACTCCACCACCACAATCACAATCCACCCCCCCCCCCCCCCCCCCCCCCCCGGCTCTTCTTACATGCGCGCTAACCTTCTGTCTAGCCCTGCTCGTTTCCTTTGTTCATCATGTCAATTCTCTTGGATTTCCTGTCCTTCACTCTCTAGTCTTTCCCCCCTTAATTATTAACCTTCTCATCCAATTGGCGCTTCCCCGTACCGAATCCATTTACTGTGATTCTTCTCCGACTTTCCGCCGCTTCCCCTTGACGCATTGACGCACTCTTTCGGATTCCACCTTCGACGTCCCCTTCCTTGACTCGAGCACCAAATTCCTTTCCTCACATGGGATTTGCCCTCCCTCGCAGAACATCATGCCGTCTTCGAAGGCGAGATCGAGTCCTTCCGCTGAGCGTCGCGACCGTCTGACTTTGGCAAGGCTGGCAAGTTATGATGATGTCGCAACCGATGCGCTCGTTGACCGTGTACGTCCACTGACCGGGGATGGCTGCTCCTGCACTGCTTGTTGACTGTAGTACGTTCTTAGGCCCACTTCTGGACGAATACTCGAAAGAATCGGACAAAATACATTCCTTTACGGCGGGTCAAGGACGATGAGATCGCGAACATCCTGCTCCACGACGTGATCGTGAAGAAGGATGTCCCAACCGCCGAGCGGAAATTTCTGGCCATGGACGGACTGAAGCGATTCATGGCGAAGCTGCCAAACGACCGCGAAAAGGAGTGGTTCACCCGACACTTACGCAAATATATCCAGATGTATCTGCCGGATTCGCCCTTCGAGGTCACCACGACGAATCGCTACCTGATCACCGAGCACGAGGCGGCCATCTGCGCCCGTAAGTTCATCAAGCAAGGTGAGGAGATCAAGTACCTCAGCGGCACCTTGGTGCCCATGACCCGGGAGGAGGAGCAGGACTTGGATCTGAAGAGGAAGGATTTTAGCATCGTGATGTCGAGCAGGAGGAAGACCCCGTCATTCTTCCTGGGCCCCGCGCGCTTCGCCAACCACGACTGTAATGCTAATGGTCGCTTGGTGACGAGAGGCATGGAGGGGATGCAGGTCGTCGCGATCCGGGACATTTATATTGGCGAGGAGATTACGGTCTCGTACGGCGAGGACTACTTTGGCATTGACAACTGCGAGTGCCTGTGCTTGACGTGTGAACGTGCCGTGCGGAATGGGTGGGCGCCTTCCGAGCCCAGCGACGAGCCTGCCTGTGCGGACACTGGCCTTCTCACCCCTCAGAAACGCAAATATGCCCCCGATACCGAATCCGAACCCTCGCCATCCTCCACCCCTCGCAAACGCACAAAATTCACCCGACAGAGTTCGAAGCTGCGATCGGAGCTGTTGCTTTCCGACGCCCCCGCATCCCCCGAGTCCGCGACTGGTCTGTCGTCTACGAACGCCGGTTCCTCAGCACCTAATACCAGGAGCCGGAAAGCTGAACTCAAAAGCGAAGCTCTCAGTGAGGTCTGCATCCAGAGTCCCAGCGCCACTGACTGCACGTCTCCTAGCTCGCTTGCCGGGGACGAATCTCACCACTCAGCGTCCACTGTCGCAACCTCCATTGGTGAATTTTCCGTCCAGATTAAAATCGAGGAGTCCACCGAGGCTTCGGTTCGAGATACGGTACTGATTGGCAAAGATGAGCTTGCCACCCCCGGTGCAAGTCAACCCGACGGAGAAAGGCATCTCGCGTCTCGTGAACATGATGCCCTATCAGATTTATCCGGGTCCTTGGAGCTAGACGAGAAGCTTGGAACTGTGGTCGAGAAACTAAACAAGGCGCGGAAGCGAGGTGTCGTTCCCTCTGTCGAGGTCGAGTCACAGCGGGCTCGAGTCCCCGGAGACTATACCAAGACCCCTAGGTTGCTCGCACAGGTTTACGATCGGTGGGTAGACTGCCGCACTTGTACGGCCTGGTTCGTCCAGCAAGATTCCTACCTGACCAGACGTGAATGTCGTCGATGCGAACGGCATTCGATGCTATATGGCTTCCAGTGGCCCAAAACTGACAAGGAGGGTCCCAACGACGACGAAGAACGGGTCATGGACCATCGGGTCATCCATCGATTCCTTTCCCCTGAAGAAGAAGCCCGTGTCTCCCGCAAGGATCGCGGTGTCAGTTTTGGCGTGACTCCGACCCCGGAACTGTCGGAGCCACGCACGGAGACAGACGAGAGCGAGGCGTGCGATGAGCGTCGCAGCACGCGAGCCAGCAGGCAGCGGACCCGAGCAATGCGGATGACCTACTAACGATGGCGATGTTTGAATAATAATTGGTTTGGGCGATTTTTGGGCACGGCGTTTGAGAACAACTGGAGCCATTCCCAGTGGAACCCAGGCGTTGGATGATGACGAGCATGAGCGGTTTGACACCTTTGACGGCTTTTGGCGGCTATTATCTATGGACATATTCGATACTTTTGATTTATTCCCTTTCTTCTGGATTTCCTCCCTTTACTTTACCTCTGGACCGGAGGGGCTTCACTGTACAGTGCTGGTCGGCGTTCCGCTTCTGATCTTAGTTGTATGCTTACAAGGCCTATCGCAACACCCAGGCCATCTGGGATTGGAATCGATGATCTTTTCCTGCAATTCGCCGGATATTCCCCCGCAGCGTCTTCAAATCATGCGTGTCTGCCTTCTCCTCCTTGCTTCCCCGCCAAACTCCTGCAACTCCGCATTTTCGCCATGACTGCATCGTGAGGGAGAATTCAATCGCACCAATGGTAGACAAGAAGTGCCACGCTTCCCCGGTTTTTCATGACACCTGACGAAGGATTTCTTTAATTGTTCCTGCACCGCATATGCAGGTCAATACAACTTCGGTCTCTTTCTACCCGATCCACGGTCGCTCATCATGGCCAAGATGTACTTAAAAGCCTCCTCTTTCTCCGACTACTGAGATGCCCGCTGTACGACCGTGTGACCAAAGCATGCCAACATGATTATGCGATCAATATCCCGCAGGGTCTTGTGCCTCCTAGCTCTGTTCGTGTCTGCGATCAACGCCTACGAGGCGCCTCTGGTGACTCTCGACTATGGAGTCTTCCAAGGCAGGTATGACGCGACTTATAACCTGTCCTATTTCCGGAAAATCCCCTTTGCAGCACCCCCAACGGGCGAAAATCGGTTTCGAGCTCCCCAAACCCCACTGAGCATTACAAATGGCACCTATGACAGTAATCAGGCCTTCGATATGTGCCCTCAGCGCACTGTCAATGGCTCGGAGGACTGTCTATACCTCGGACTCTACTCTCGGCCTTGGGAGGTCGCCTCTGCGAATCGGCCTGTGCTGGTGGTCTTCTACGGCGGCGCCTTCATCGAAGGTAGCGCATCCTTTACCCTGCCCCCGAGCGCCTATCCAACTCTCAACGTCAGCACCCTCAACGACTATATCGTGATCTATCCCAACTACCGCACCAATGCCTTTGGATTCCTCCCAGGCCAAGCGATCAAAGACTCGTCCACCTCCGACCTCAACCCGGGCCTGCTGGATCAACAGTATGTCCTCAAATGGGTCCAAAAGAACATCCACCACTTCGGCGGGAACCCGAACAACGTAACGATCTGGGGCCAGTCGGCCGGCGCGGGGTCCGTCGTCGCGCAGATCCTGGCGAACGGCCGCGGCAAGCAGCCTAAGCTCTTCAGCAAAGCCCTCGCCAGCTCGCCCTTCTGGCCCAAGACCTACGCCTATAACGCGCCCCAAGCCGAAGCCATCTACTCCCAGATGGTGAATCTGACCGGCTGCGGCAATTCCACAGTGAAAGATTCTCTGCGCTGCCTCAAGGCCGTCGACGTGCAGACCATCCGCGACGCCAGCCTCGTCATCGACGCCAGCCACACCTACACCACCAGCTCCTACACCTGGGCGCCCGTCATCGACGGCGAATTCCTGATCGACACCCTCAGCAAGGCCACCGCGCGCGGCACCCTCCCCACGGACTTCATCTGGGGCATGTACAACTCCCACGAGGGCGAGAACTTCGTCCCAGCCGGCCTGGGCTCGACCACCACCACATCCACGGGCTTCAACTCCTCGCTCGCCAGCTTCCAGTCCTGGGTCTCCGGGTTTGTCCCCGGCCTAACCTCCCACGAGATCAGCCTCCTCGAATCCCAGTACTACCCGCCGGTAGGCAGCACCGAGACGGTCGACGACTACAACACGACCCTCGTCCGCGCCGGCCTGATCTACCGAGACTTGGTCCTCGCCTGCCCGGCCTACTGGGTCGCCTCCGCCGCAGGGACCAACGGGTACCTCGGGGAATATACCATTTCGCCCGCCAAGCACGGCAGTGACACCGAGTGGGTGAGTCTACCCTTTTTGTTGGTTCCCCCCGAAAACTACATCCCAGATCCCTAATTTGTTTGTTGGCGGTAGTGGAACCAAGTAAACGCCATCCAACAATCCGACCCCCTCATCTACGACGGCTACGCCGGCGCCTTCGCCAGCTTCTTCCAGACAGGAAACCCCGACGCGCACAAATTGACGAATGCGTCGCAACCCGGCGTCCCGCTGCTCCGTACTACGGGCCAGGAGTTTGTGGTGGAGGTGGACGGGTTCGAGAATGTGAGGTTGGTCGAGCTGCCGAGACGGTGTGCGTTTTGGAGGGCGGTCGCGGGGAGGGTTCCTGTTTAGCCTGCTTGGGTATGCGTATACAGTTCCTGTTTGGGAGGAGGGGGAAGGAAAGATGGTGTGCGGGCTTCGGTTTGTGTGGGGTAAAAGTGATGTGTGTTTCTTTGTGGTGGGTTGGGTTCGATAGGTGTGGGTTGTGGAATGGGTATGTAAGGTCATGGGTCGTGGGTCATTCACGGTGGTGAGAGGGTTAGTACGCGAGTGAAGTGCGTGGAAGAGGTTCTCTATCTTAACGGCTGAGTGAGAAGAGTTGAGTGAGTACACAGTACAGAAGTCAGTGTTGAGTAGAAATCTATGAGAGACTATACATAAGGGTTATAATACATATCCTTTCCCCCGATCCCCAATCCCCGGATTGCAAAAAAAAAAAGGCCAGAAAAAAATGCAGGTCTAGTAGTGTATGATATCAATGAAACGTTTCCATGCCGAGAGAGATTAAATTGCCTGCGTCCCATTTTTGCTTTTAAGAGTCCACCTTTTCAGAAATAAAGAAACGCCGGAGTAGTCGTAAGGTACAGAGTTGTATCGGAGGGAGTTGATAAGAGAGATTATGCAGGTTTTTTTGGGGGGGGGGGCGGGTGAGGGAAAATGCAGGCGGCCTAGATCAAGGCCTGGCCCCGGAACATGGCCTCGCGGACCTCCTTGACGACATCCTTGCGGTCGTTCTTGCCGACCAGGACGACGGCGCGGCCGCGCTTGCCCATGCGGCCGAGGCGGCCCAGCCGGTGGATGAAGTCGATGGTGGTGCGGGGGACGTCGTACAGCACCACGGTCTTGACGGCGAGGGTGTCGACGCCGCGCGAGGCGATGTCCGTCGACACCAGGACCTGGACGTTCTCGAGGCGCTTCTCGGGCGGCTGGCCGGCGTACGGGTCGCCGCCGGCGTTCACGAAGGGGATGGAGCGGTCCTCGCGGCGGCGCTTCTTCTCGGTCTCCATCGCCTCCAGGACCTGGGCGGCGGTCATGGGCGGCGCCCAGTCAGTGAAGGGGGCCAGGATCTCGCGCTCCTTGCGGTCGGTGACGTCGCGGGTGAAGGCCTTGGCGTCGATGCCTTTGCTCTTCAGGAACTGCGCGACCTCGGTGGCGTCCTCGCGGCGGTTGACGAACACCAGGATGCGCTTGTCCTGCGAGCGGGCCTGGCCGGGCCCCAGGTCGTCGCCGCCGGAGTCGCCGGCCTTGCCGATGGACCAGATGATGTCGGCGCAGGCGAGCGAGCGGTTGCCGTTGTAGGGGGGTTTCTGGACGTCGATCACGCCCAGCTGGACGCGGCGCGGGATAGCGTGCAGGCTCGGGGTGGTCAGGCGCTTGATGTCGGGCCAACGCTTGCGCAGGGTGGCGTCCATGCCGCGCGGGATGGTGGCAGAGCAGAGGACGAGCTTGTGGAGGGAGGGGGTGGCCTTGCTGATGATCTCGTTGAGGATGGGCGAGAAGGACTTGTCCAGGAGACTGTCGGCCTCGTCGAGCACCATGTAGTTGACGCGGCTCAGCACGTACGGCTCCTTCTCCGCGATCGAGGCCAGCAGGTGCGGCGTCGTCACGATGATGTCGACCCCCTTCTCATTGAACAGGCCGTTCTTGATCCGCCGCGGCGTCAGGTTGGAGGCCAGCACCGCGGACCGGAACTTGACCGTGTGCGAGAAGGCCTTGAGCTTGTCGCCCACCTGGAAGGCCAGCTCGGAGGTCGGCACCAGGATCACCATGCGCGGCCGGGCCGCGTTGGATAGCGGGGGCTCTTCGGGCGCGATGTCGAACGCCCGGTTCTTCGTCTTCAGCTCCCGCTCCTTCTCGCGCTGCTTGGCCTCCTCCTCTTTCTTCTCGTGGGCCGCCTCGGCCGCCTCCAGGCGCTTGAAGTTGTCCAGCAGCGGGATCAGGTATGCCAGGGTCTTGCCGGAACCGGTCTCCGCGGCCAGGAGGTACTGTTCGTATTGGGGGTCGCTGCTCGGCGGCGCGCCCAGTGGCGGGAGCGGGTCCTTGAGGAGTTCGGGGATCGCAACCCGCTGGATCGGGGTGGGCATGAGATCCGTCAGCCCGGGGAGCGCCTGGGAAGAGATCGAGTGGTGGACGACCGAGATGAGCGGGAAATGATCAAAGCTGGTGATTTCGGCGATTCTCTCCTTGACCTTGGTGCGCTGGGCGTAGGACACCGGCGCCAATGCGGTTTGCATCTTCAAGGCCTTGTATAGAGGGCTCTCCGGTTTGCTACCCTTGTCTTTACCGCCATCCTTCCTGGGGTCTCTGTCTCCCCGGCTGGCCCCCCGGCTGTCCCTCGTCCGGGAGCGGGAGGCAAGCTCCTCCGGCACCTGGGTGATGTTCGTGCCGCCCCAGGGTCCCTTTCTCTCCCGCGACGCGCGAGGAGCTAGTGAGGTTCGAGACACGTTCGAGGACAGAGCATGGCGACTCTTCTTTCCGCGTCGTTCTGGTCTCCGTCCGATACCACGGATGGCCTGCCATCCGGTTAAGGGCGAAAGGGTGGAGGTAATGGAGGGTATGGTGGTTCGGGTTTGACAGAGCAGACATACTCTGGGCCGGAGTGGCAGAGATGAACGGCCAAGACGATTCATCCTGAGGGAGGGAGGGAGGGAGGAATTTGAGGAGACGCAGGAAAGAGGGAGGAGAGGAAGGGAAAGGGGAGAAAGAGAAAGAGAGAGAGAGAGAGAGAGAGAGAGAGAGGAAAAAGGGAAAGGTGAAGAGCACGAGTCGGTCGAATTGTCCCGAAGCTGCAAGAATGAGGATGGACGGAGAACTGCAGAACTGCAGCGGAGTAAGTTGGAACTGCAGTGAGTGAGTGGCGGAGAAGATTCAGCAGGCTCCGGCCGAATCGGGCAGGCGCTTGGACCAGGTCACTGATCCGAGCGCTAAGACTGGATTGGGACTAGGGCGATCGTGACAGGTTGTGCCCCAGGCCGCCAGGCCGCCAGGCCGCCAGGCAACCCAACTACGTAGTTGTTCTGCCAACTGGGCTGTGGCTGCTTTGCCTGGTCGAGTCCCTCAGCTGAAACTGAAACCCCACTCTTTCCACCTCCCATCAAGGCAAACCAAGGCTCGAGGCTTTATTGTGGAGTTGCCATAGAAACTGCCGTCACCGAACCAGACATCAACATCCCCCCTCCCCTGCTGCAGTCCCTGCAGTCCCGGCAGTCACGGCAGTCACTGCTTTCGCTTTTCCACTCTTTGCCCGTCCAACTTTCCAAGATCTCGAATTGGGTTGAGTTGAGTTGAGTTGAGTTGTGATCAACCAGCCCCGTCAATCAATCAGTCAATCAATCAATCGATCGGGATCTTGACTGCTGCTGCCCCGTGCCTACCTGGGTACCTACTTAAGTTATTATTTATCGGGCAAAACACGTTCCTCTTCATCTAAATTTCGTTGTGTTTTGATTTTCTCTCTTCGTTCTTCTTCTTGCTTCTACTTCCCACTTTCTACTTTCTACTTTCATCCCAGCGAGCAACCAAGTATTCACTGCCTTTCTTTCTGTCTTCCTCTCGTTGATTCGTTTGGTGGATTGGCCTGTGTTTTTCTTTCTCTTATCGCATCCCATCAGCCTTGGCTTGTTGATTGTTAAGTTACAGGTTACAGGTTACATTTTACAGTATACTTCTTACTACTTCCTTCGTTTGATCGCGAATCGCGACAAGACACTTGACTTGACGAATTGGCTGCAGTTGGTGACGCAACCTTATTCATTCCTCTTTTCTTCCATTACCACCATTTACCCATGTGCTGTGCAAACGCCTTTTTGAAGTAATCGCGACGCCATTGTTCTCCCTGCATTCCTGGATTTGCTGGCTGTTTCTTCTTGTCTTCGGCTTATCAGCGCGTCTCTCTCTCTCTGTGTGTGGGTGCTTTTCCTCCCCCCGTCCCCGTTCCGTCCCCATCCCCAAATCGTAGGCCGCTCCAGCTCTGAGCGCGTTCTTCATCCCGCAAGGGATGAAACCTCGTTGCAGCGACCTTGCATTGCTAGGTGGTGTTGCATGGACAGTTGCTGATTCAGCTGCCAGCGTTGTTTTTTCCCTCCCGACGCCTCGTTCCTGCTGCATTCCATCCTTACGCCTCTGATTGTGGGTTTCCACCAAGATGACCAGCAATCCCGGGCAAAGTCCGCTATCAGAAGTGAGCCCAATGGCTCAACGCAGAAACTCCCCCAGCTGGAACCAATCCACCAAGGTGCGTGGCTCCCGCGAGTCGGTGATGGACGCGCTGGGCTGACCAACCAACTGCAGATGATGAAAACACACGATGCGTCGCCCTATGAGGCGCCAGCGTCACCGCGTCTCTTCTGGCAGGGTCGGGAATCAGGATCTCCCTTCCATAGAGGCTCAGAGAACCAGAACCTCTATGATCCTGATGTCTCGACATATACTCCCTCCAAGCGCCCGTCTTTGGAAAACCTGAAGCGCGCCTCCAGGGTCAAGAATAACAACATGTTCCGCGACCACAATGCAGAGTATGACCCCACGCAAGTCTATGTTCCACAGCGACCTTTGGCCCTCAATCGATCATCCCAGAGGCAAGCGCAGAACCCACCACCAGCACAGCAGCCCGACCCCCAGGACACCAACCCGGTCGGCCCGCGGCCCCCTTCCCCGAGCAAGGACCAGGTTGCCCCGGCAAAATCCTCGCTGTCCCGGGCTAGTCGATTCGGTGGTAAGGACGCTGCTTTCGACCCCGAGAACGAGATCTGGTCGGACATCGACGGTAGTCGACATGCTAAAAGCGTGACATTCGATGCGGCTCCTCCTCAGGTCAACGAATATGAGATGACAACTCCGGATCCATCCTCCGTCGCCTCCGACTCCCGCGAAGGTAGCTATGACTCCGAGGAAAATGAGAACGATATCAGCTTCGATCGGGAATCCTCGCTCGAGCGCGACGACAGCTTCGACGCATCCCTGGAAGACCTTGAGAAAACACCAGTGGTGCTGCCAGAGGACTGGCGCTATATGAGCCCTGAATCTGCGAATGACGAACTGGTCGAAGAGGGGGGGGGTCAGTTCACCGCGGATGACGAAGATCATAGCCCCATCCCCCGCCCGTCCTCCCAGCAAGAGCATCCCATGCAGCATGCCCGGGTGGAGTCACTGGATTCAAATGTTGATCGCCGTCCCCTTCCTCCTCTCCCTCCCACTAACCGGCCTCAATCCCCTCAGCGTGGATCGCCGGGAAAGATGACGGCCGCTTTTGAGCTTGGAAGTGGGAACCAACGCGTTCTTCCTTCTCCACCAGCCCCCGCATCTTACAGCAAATCCGACATCACGGAACGGAACCATGGCCATATGTCCCTGGAAGAGAGGCTGCGTCTGATGATGATCGAGAAGAAGGAGCCGATAACTGAGGAAATCGAACTGGATGGCCCGGAGACACCCAAGGCTCTTCCCGAGGAGCCACAGGAGCAGATTGCAGTCAAGGAGGCCCCTGCCACTCAGGAAACAGATACTGCAGCGGAGGACGACGCAGATGTTTACACCCCTCCGCGCATCTCGAGGGATTCGATTCTCCGAGATCTGCGTAAGAGCGAGAGCTTCCTGGATGACTCCTTTGAGGATGCTTCTCAGGCGGAGTCTAGCCCCAACCATTACTTCGATTATGACCCGGACGTCCCAATTCCTTCCATGGAGCACGATCATGATGATAGCCACGACTATGACGACGACGATGACGATGAGACCAGCAGTGTGATCATCAAGCCCGAAGAGCATGATGATTCTCTTTATGACATTCCAGAATACTACGAAAACGTAAACTCGGAGCAGTCTTCTTCGCAAAGCTTAAAGGATAAGATGGATGATGACGAAAGTCGTTACTCCAGCCAACCTCCGGAAGAGGTGTCCGTGCTAGAGGAAGATGACTCGCACGACTTTGATGACAGGCAATCCACACCACTTGCTACCGTGCAGACACAAGAGACGCCGGTCAATGTTACTGTTGATGCCCCAGCTGATGAGACCGCTAATGAGCCGATTGATGAGTCAGTCGATGAATCACTTGATGAGTCGCAGGTATCTACCATCAGCGAGGAAAGGTCTGCTGATAAGATGGCCGCCATGCGAGAGTCACTTCAGCGCCCATCGACGCCGGATAGCCAGAATCAAATATCGGAGCCTTCTACCCCTGATTCTGTCGTTCGACACCCTGTGGCTGACGAGCAGAGCGATCGCGAGGTCTCGCCAGACGAGAGTGTTCCGGATCCGATTGCCACAGTCAAAGCACCAGGAACTCGCCTCAAGACGCGTCCCTCACTGACCCCAGCCGATATGGAACAGATGGCAGCCACTCGCCGGAAAATTAGCGGGCAGGTGCCACCGCCAATGCCATACCTTACAAAACAGGAATCCAACGAATCCCAGGCGTCAGCACCGGGTGATGCCGTGCCATCACTACCTCCACCCGTGCAGGAGAATCAAAGACAGAGTAGTCTTGTGAAGCTGGACATTCCGTTCAGCATCCAGGAAGAAGAGAGCCTTGGATTTGGATTGGACAAAGAATTCGATAGGGTCATTGAATCTCAAAAGGTGGCGTTTGAACATTCCCTCTCCCAACTGCGTCTCCACGGCCCGGAAGCACCCAAGCATGGACCAGCCCCCCAGTTCTTGAGTTCGAGACAGCGGACTAATAATAATCACCCCAAACAGAGAGGTTATCTTATGCGGCACAATACCAAGGTTATCATTGCGAGCAGCAGCACCGAAGACGACACTGTGCCAACTCCAGGAGAAGATCCAGCTGAATCTCGAGCCACACGCGCCGCGCCCACGCCGCGTAAGGCCAGCCAGCAGACTTGGACCACTGTACCCTGGAACGGTCAGACTCGCCGGGCGAGTATGAGAACGGCCAGCGGAGTGGTTCGAAAGAAGGCTACGTCAGGCCCGGTACCGCCGCTCCCAGGCCAGCAAAGCAGCGTCCAGGAGCCGACAACCACGATCGAGGAGGCGGAGCCTGCTCTCAATGGCGCTCTCGAAGAGGGTGAAGAGCGAGGTCGTCTTTTCGTCAAGGTTGTTGGTATGAAATACCTCGATCTGCCTCTGCCACGAGGTAAGTATTGAAACTTGCGATCAGTTTTGTGGTCCATTCGCCGCTAACCAGACTGTAGGTGAGAGATCGTACTTTGCCCTTACTTTGGACAACGGCCTGCATTGTGTCACCACCTCTTGGTTGGAACTAGGCAAGACAGCGCCCATCGGCCAGGAGTTCGAGCTCATTGTCCAACAGGACCTTGAGTTCCAGCTGACCTTGCAAATGAAGGTAGATGAGGAGAAGTTTCGAGTGCAGGAGCCTGCCCCTACTGCCTCGCCTAGTCGCCCCAAGACTTCCACATTCAGCCGTGTGTTTGCTTCTCCGCGCAAGCGCAAGGAGCTCGAGATGAAGCAGCAACTTGCCAACCAGCAAAATAAAGCCAAAGATGTCAACGCTCCTGTGTGGGAGCGATTGAGGACTTTGGTCGCCCGAGATGGCAGTTTTGCGCGCGCATATGTTTCTCTTAGCGATCATGAGAAACACGCCTATGGTCGGCCCTACAATGTTGATATTGCGTGCTTCAATGAATGGGCGGTTGAAGAGCAGCCGAGCAGTGTCAAGAGCAAGAAGAGTACGACAAGTACGACTTCTCAGCGAAGACCTCCTTATAAGATTGGAAAGCTGGAGCTCCAGCTGTTGTTTGTCCCCAAGCCCAAGGGTGCCAAGGAGGAGGATATGCCCAAGAGCATGAATGCCTGCATTCGGGAAATGCGTGAGGCGGAGAGCGTCTCTGC